TCATCAGCATCAGCATCATCATCATCGTCATCATCATCATCATCGTCATCAGCATCATCATCATTATCATCATCATCATCATCGTCAGCATCATCATCATCATCATCATGATCAGAATCACCATCACCAGCATCATCATCATCAGCAGCAGCAGCATCATCAACATCATCAGCATCATCATCCATCATCGTCATCATCATCAGCATCATCAGCATCATCATCATCATCATCATCATCATCATCATCAGCATCGCCATCGTCATCATCATCATCATCATCATCATCATCATCATCATCCGCGTCATCGTCATCCTCATCAGCAGCATCAGCATCATCATCGTCTTCATGAGCAGCATCGGCATCAGCATCAGCATCCTCATCAGCAGCAGTACCATCATCACCGTCATCATCATCATCGTCATCATCATCAACATCATCATCAGCATCATCATAATCATCCTCATCCGTATCATCAGTATCATCATCAGCAGCATTATCATCAGCATCATCATCATCATCATCATCATCGTCGGCCTCAGCATCATCAATATCATCAGCAGCAGCATCATCAACATCATCAACATCAGCATCATCAGCATCATCATCACATCATCATCATCAGCAGCATCATCATCACCAGCATCATCAGCAGCATCATTATCAGCATCAGCATCAGCATCATCATCATCATCATCAGCATCATCATCATCATCATCATCATCATCATCGCCATCGTCATCATCATCAACAGCATCATCATCATCCGCGTCATCGTCATCATCAGCATCATCATCAGCATCATCATCGTCTTCATGAACAGCATCAGCATCAGCATCAGCATCCTCATCAGCAGCAGTACCATTATCATCGTCATCATCATCATCATCGTCATCATCATCAACATCAGCATCAGCATCATCATAAGCATCCTCATCCGTATCATCAGCATCATCATCAGCAGCATTATCATCAGCATCATCATCATCATCATCGTCGGCCTCAGCATCATCAATATCATTTGCAGCATCACCATCAGTTATCAACATCAGCATCATGATCACATCATCATCAGCAGCAGCATCATCACCAGCATCATCAGCAGCATCATTATCAGCATCAGCATCGGCACCAGCATCATCATCATCATTGTCATCGTCATCGTCATCGTTGGGGTCGTCATCAATATCATAATCCACAGCAGCAGCATATGCATCATCAACACAACCATCATCATCAGCAGCATCGTCATCATCATCAGCATCATTATCACCATCAGCATCGAAGAATTATCATCATCACCATCATCATCATAATCATCATCAGCATCATCATCATACTCAGCATCATCGTCGTAATCATCATCGTCATCAGCATCATCAGCATCAGCATCATTATCAGCATCAGCATCGTCATGATCATTGTCATCAGCATCAGCATCAGCACGATCAGTGTCATCATCACCCTCAACATCATTCGCATCACCATCAGCAGCAGCAACAATATCATCATCATCATCCTCATCATCATCATCGTCATCATCATCATCATCATCATCATCACTGTCACCATCATCATCAACTGCATCATCATCAAAATCCGCATCCTCCTTAGCCCCCTGCTCCACTGCTGGCCGAACCCCCCATGCGCCACTGCGCTGGTAACTCAGTCAGCGTACTCCCGAGTATCCAACTCGAACGAGCATTTCAGTTCTGCACACCTCCCATACTGTCGGACATGGTCCTGGCATCCGTAGATAATCCTCCTTCTCCCCACGTCTATTCCCACTACCTCCACCTCCTCCTCCTTCTCCTCCTCCTCCTCTTCCGCCTCCTCCTCCTCCTGCCTCTTGCCTCCTGCCTCCTGCCTCCTGCATGCCTGCGGCGGAGGTGTCCACTGAGGGCCTCGGAAAAGAGAGAGAACGAAACATCTGGGCAGCTCTCGGCGGCGACGATAGGGGCGAATAGCCCAGGGGCGGGCATTACACGTAGTCGCCTGGGAGCCTTTTCGAAGGCATAGATCATCGGCGCATCTGAATACATGTATTGCTCTCCCCTGGGCTATTCGCCCCTATCGTCGCCTCTGAGACAAGGAAGGCCTCTCGCCACCCCGGCGGAATTCTACCCACGGCCAGGGACCAGAGGCAGGGGGCTGCTTCCGGCCTTCCCCACGCGCGTCGGGCCGAGCCTCAAGGCCTGGGCGCAACCCTCCTCATCCTCCTCCTCCTCCTCCTCCTCCTCCTCCTCCTCCTCCTCCTCCTCCTCCTCCTCCTCCTCCTCCTCCTCCTCCTCCCATCGGGTCGACACGCCTGCAGGAGGACGGGACGGACGGCCAGGGAGGACCGGGAGGAGACCTCGAGGGCCGCAGGGCGGGAGGAGCGCTCGCGCGGCGGCCGGGGAGGAGGGGGCCCCCGCGCGGCGCGGAGGCGCGGAGGGGGGCCGCGGCTGCTGGGCCCGCCGCAGTCTGAGACGTCGCAGAACTGGTCGGTGGTCATGCCGAATGCCTCGGGGGGCGGGGGGGCTGTGGGCTGCGCCCTCTGGAGGTAGGAGAGGCGTCTGGTGTAGAGGGGTCTGGTGCCAGTGCTGGATCTGGCGAGGTTGGCTATCGTAGATCACATCGCCGTGTCCACGATTGGCCCCCTGGAGGCAGGAGAGGCGTTTGTCGCAAATGACAGCCTGCCAGACCACCCCAACCCAACCCGAAGACCCGAAGTTCGGGTTGGGGGGGGTACGAGTTCCACACGTGTTTTTTCGATGTTCCCTGGGCCCCCCCCCACTGGAAATGGAGGGCAAATTGGGGCCTTCGGGTTGGGTTGGGGTGATTTGGTGGGTGGTGAGTAAAGGGGTCTGGTGCCAATGCTGGATCTGGCGAGGTTGGCTGTCGTAGACAACATCGCCACGTCCACGATTGGCACCACGCCCCTCTGTGCCACACCCCTCTCCGGCCTCCGGCTTACGCGGGGCGCGGGCGGGCAGAGGCGACCGCCAGCGAGGCGCCAAGGGGGGAGGGGGGGGGGGCGGTGCGAGGGCTCGGGGTGCTGGCGGTTGTGCGGAGCCCGTTGTGGGGACCCCCTGGTGGACCTCTGGGGACCGCCAGGCAGTGGTCTCACCGTCGTCGTCGCCGCCGTCGCCGCCACCATCGCCGCCAGCAGCGGCTGCACCGCCGACACTCGATCTGGGAGTTCTTGTCCTCACCAAAAATTTGCAGATTTCGTTATGTAATGGCTTCGTCTCCTCTCTCGCAACCTGGTTCGACGGCATGCGGGAAGGGAACACTTGGAAAGGAAGTTGGGGGGAGTTCTCGAAGAGAGGGGGATACCCATGCTCTTTCCTCCTCCCTCCTCCCGATTATCCCTTCTCCTCTCTCCGACATGTTTCCCATCATTCCCCCATCAGGTTTTGCCTTCGGGGTTCTTAATTGTTAGAGAAACCGATGAGTGCCAGAAACGGTCTTCGCTGGGTTCTCTGGGGCTCCCTGGTCTTGTTTCCTTACAAAGGGGGTCCCTGGGGCTGCCCAGCCCTGTTTCTTTGCAGTGGCGCTCCTCGAGGTTTCCTGGGTTCACCGAGTCCTCTTGGTTTTGCTTCCTTTGTCTTTCCATGTTTGGAAAGGCCAGCCTTAATCGCGGTCCTCGCGGTTACCCTGCCCCCCTGGTCCCTTTGGTCGTGGTCTTTACTGTCGTGGAGGGTTGGCCTTCCTCAAGTTTTCTGGGTCCACTGATTTTTTTTCCGCACTGTGTTCGTAAAGCTATGCCAAGCAGTGCCTAGCAACGCAGAGAAATCCCAAACGAACCCGCACCAAGCGATGCCAAGCAATAACAAGCAATGCGAAGCAATGCCAAGCACTACCAAGCAATGGCAAGCAATGTCAGGCGAGGCCAAATCATCCAAAGTAGCGGAAAGTAATGCAAAGTAATGCAACGTAACGCACAGAAATGCCAAGCGTTACCAAGCCATGCAGAGCAATGCAAGGCAATGCAATGCAAAGCAATGCAAAGCAATGCCTGGCAACGCAAAACAATGCCACGCAACGCAAAGCAATGCAAAGCCATGCCAGGCAACGCAGAGCCAAGCAACACAACAATGCAGAGCAGAGCCGCGCACCTCAACACAAAGCGATGCAAAATGAAATGCCAGGCAAAAACGCCAAGCAGTGCCGCCGCGTTGAAGTGCTCCCCTCATTGGGGCTGCGTTAAAGGTTCATCCGCCGCCGAGCCCCCATGGCACGATGAGGCATGCCAGAATCAGGTCGGGCGTGTCCCCCTACAGGCGGATTTTGGACGAAGAATAAGCAATACCTAAACATTGCCCCCCAGCATGTTCAAAAATGGTCAACAATCGTCCCCTGACTATTTGTTGACAACTTCTGAATATTCCTCCTGTAGAGGGGCAGGCCCGCCTTAGTGCTAGAATTCAAGCTGCTGGCTGGCAGGGCTTCCGCCACTTCAGGCAAGCCTCCGCACTCGTCGCACCTTGGGCACCCGAATTATCCGGGGTAACTCGGGTCTGGGGTAGCTCGGGTTTAAATTCCCGGAAAAAGGAACCCGAGTTAGCCCTGACCCGAGTTACCCCTGATGACGTGGGGCTCTGGACGCCCGAATTATCCGGGGTAACTCGGGTCCGGGGTAACTCGGGTTTGGATTCCCGAAACACGAACCCGAGTTAACCCTGACCCGAATTACCCCTGATGTTTCGGGGCTCTGAGCACTCCCCCTGTCTGCGCGCACCGCCCCCCCTCCTGTCTCCGAGGCCCTGTACAGCGCCCAGAGACACGCCCCCCTGGCGCTCTCGGGACGAGAGCCCACCGCCTGCGCGCTCTGGGCCCCCCCCCTCTGCCCGAGGCAAGAAAGCGCCAAGCGGTGCCGTCGCGTAGGAAGTGCTCCCCTTTTTTAAAATAAAAAAGGAAGGAGTGCGCCCCTCTTTGGGGCTGCGCTACAAAGTGCATCCGCCGCCGAGCCCCCCTGGCACGATGAGGCGTGCTGGAGTCCCACCGGCCCTCTGGGCGGGCGTCGGTGGTAACACCCCCTCCCCCAGGCGACTGGGGGCCAACCAGGGACCATGACGACACCCCCCCCCACAATCCCTTGTAAAAAACAATACAAACACACAGTCTGCCTCCAAATTCGAAACATGCGCAGCCAACCCGATGCGCCCCCCCCCACCATCCCTGTCAAAAAAACAATACAGAATACACTTGGCGGAGGCGGCGGCGGCGGCGGCTGCTGCGGCGGCTGCGGCGGCGGCGGCGGCGGCGGTGGCGGTGGCGGCGGTGGCGGCGGCGGCGGTGGCGGTAGCGGCAGCGGCTGCGGCGGCGGCGGCGGCGGCAGCGGCGGCGGCGGCGGAGGCGGCGGTGGCGGCGGCGGATTGGCCCCCAGTAGCTACCCATCCGAAGACAACTGCTGTATGTGCTGAGGCTCGGGCCAGACTCGGGTGCTACGTATGTGTTGGGAGGGCGGGTGGGAGTGAGCGAGACGGTTTGCGGGCGGGGGGGGGGTCTTGACCCCTCCCCCTACCCCCCCCCTCCCCTGGACCTGGACGGGGGGGTTCGCGAGGTGTCAGGGCGTCCAAAACGGCCTCGGCGAGGAAGCCAAAATCACTTGTTTTTTTTTTTTGTTTCTGGGGTTTTGGCCTCATTTCGGCCTCCTGCGGGGGGGGGGTGTAATTAGTCCCCCCCCCTCCTGTGATCGATCTCACCCAAGATGGCCCAAATATGGCCCAAAAGGAAGGGTGCCCCAAGAGGGCCCCAAGAGGTGGCCAGGAAGCCCCATGAGGCCCCCAGGATGCCCCCAAGAGGCCCCCAAGAGACCCCCAAGAGGCCCCAAGAGACCCCCCAGAGGCACCCAAGATGCTCCAAGAGGCCTCGGCGAGAATGCCAAATCATTGATTCGACCAAGGTTTTAGCCACATGTTGGCCTCTTGGGGGGACACTGATTGAGATGATTCCAAGAGCGCCTGGGAGAGCCCAAGATGACCTCCAAGATGGCTCAAGATGTCCCTAGATGTGTCATAATGGCCTCCTATGTGTGCTGCCCACTTCCCTGATCGAGGCATGGGCATCGTTTCTGGATGGGCTGGTGGGGATTCTTTTTTGGTCGCGGCCGCGAGCGAAGAGCGCAGGAGGCATCCGAAAAGGTCGGGCGGGCCGGGCCGACGGGCAAGCCTAATTAGCTACTGGGCGCGACACAAGCCGGCCGGGCCAGCTCACAAAAGCAGCAGCTGGGGCAGCGGCGGCGGGGGGCTGGCTGGCTGAACTGCAACGCTCAGGGAAGCTCAAGCATCATGCAGACCTGTGGCAAAGTGCCAGGGAATTCCCAACTGTGCGCCGCGGCGCCAATCCACCACGGTGTAGGTGCACTCTGGTGGGGATTCGCGAAGCGTTCACAATTCAAGATGCCGGCTGGCAGGGCTTATGCATTTTTCCGGCAAGCCTCCGCTCGTCGCACTCCCCCTGCCTGCGCGCACCGCCCCTCCTTCCACGCGGCCACGTCGGCGCCCAGCCACGACCCCCTGGCGCTCTCGGGACGAGCCCACCGCCTGCATGCTGGAACCAACAAAAGACGATTCGTACTCTGCTAATTTTCCAGAGATGATGATGATGCCTTTCTTGGAGTAACTCAAGCTCCAGATGAGCTACAGAGCTGTTTGGCACAGCAATCGAAAGAGCGCCATCAGAAACGCTGGTCTTAAGTATCTAGATGCGCCCCCCTTCTTTCCCGAGGCCACGAGTCCCTCGCAGGATGCGGCACATGCGCGATCCCGAGGCTCAGGTGCCTCCAAGACTCCCCAGTATCGCTCCAGCACCGGCCGCTTTGGCCTCAGGACGGCCCACGCCGCCGAGGAGGAGGAGGAGGAGGAGGAGGAGGAGGAGGAGGAGGAGGAGGAGGAGGAGGAGGGAGGGCCCCGAGAGATTGACATCCCTTAGGTGTTTCAATGTATTTCGGGTTCTCGCCTTCTCGAGCTCCCGACGTCCCAAAACGACCCCAAGAGGCCGCCAGGACTGCCCAAAGACGGCCCCAAGAGGGCTCCAAGACGGACCCAGAAGCGCACAAGAATGCCCAAGAGGACCCCAGGACGGCCCCAAGAAGGGCCCAGGAGGGTGAACACGGACCGACAGTTCGAGCCTTCCGCCCAAAGAGGGCTCAGGAGGCCCCAAGAAGGCCAAAAGAGGCCACCCAGAGGCCTCCAGAAGGGCCCCGAGAGGAAAAAACAAACGTTTTTGCGTTGCTTGTTCAATGTGTTTGGTGTTCTCGCCTTTTCGAGCGTCCGACGCTCCAAGACGGCCCAAGAGACCCCCAAAACTCTCCCAAGACTGCTCAAGAGGCCCCCAAGAGAGCTCCAAGACGGCCCACGAGAGCTCCAACACGGTCTAAGAGGTGCCCAAGACTGCCAAGAGGGCCCCAAGACGGCCCCAAGAAAGGCCCAAGAGTTGGACCACGAACCAAGAATTCGAGCCTTCTGCCCCAAGAGGTTCCCAGCAGCCCCCCTTGCCTTCTCGAATATCTGCCGC